AGGCCCCACGCGCACCCACCCCCCTCAGCTTCCCCGGCCGCAGCCCGCGCCTCGGTGGGACGTGCCGCCAAGCTCAGGCTGCTGCGGGACTGCGCCTGGATCGCCCCCTGGGCTTCCTGAAAGCCCTTGCCGGGCCCCTCCCCGGAGGCCCTGAAGCGAAGGAAGCCGCCGCGGGAGAAGAGGCAGGGCCCGCTGCTGAGCGGTGAGCGGTGACAAGCCAGGAAGCAGGAGACTAGCTCAGGGGTCTCCGACCTTTCCGAGCACGAGGTCGCTTTGAATGGAGGTGAAATCCAAGCTCTGCCCAATATAAATCCCCTTGTCCCGCCTCCGTCCCTCCCCTCCTCTGAGGCCTCAGGCCTCCCTCTCCTGCCCACCCTCCCTCACGCTCATCAGACAGACATTAGCAAACGTGACAAGCCAGGAAGCAGGAGACTAGCTCAGGGGTCTCCGACCTTTCCGAGCACGAGGTCGCTTTGAATGGAGGTGAAATCCAAGCTCTGCCCAATATAAATCCCCTTGTCCCGCCTCCGTCCCTCCCCTCCTCTGAGGCCTCAGGCCTCCCTCTCCTGCCCACCCTCCCTCACGCTCATCAGACAGACATTAGCAAACTCGTGGGAAGCAAAACTAAGAGGAAAAGCCATTGAAGACAACTGGCAGATTTTCAAAGGGACGTTATTAAAGGCACAAGAGAACACCCTTCCACTGGCAGGAGAGACAGCAAGTCTGGCAAGACACCGCCCTGGCTTAACCAGGAGATCTTGGATGATCTAAAAATCAAAAGGAGTCCTGTAAAAAGTAGAACCTAGGTCAAAGTGCAAAGGATGAATATGGATGTAAACAAAACAAGTCCGTGGGTAAAATGAGAAAGGCGAAGGCACAAAAGGAGCTCAGTCTAGCTAGAGACGTACAGGTTAATGACAAAACGTTCTGCAAATATATTAGAAGCAAGAGGAAGACCAAGGCTGGGATAGGCGCATTGCTCAATGAAGAGAGGAAGACAATAGCAGAAAATGTCGAAGTGGCAGAGGTGGTTAATGACTTCTTTGTTTCGGTTTTCAGCAAGGAGGTTGGTGATGACGGCATGCCTGCAATAGCAAATGCTGGTGGGAAGGAGGTAGATTGAGAGGTAAAAACAGGAAAAGAACAAGTTAAAAATTACTTAGAAGAGTTAGATGCCTTCAAGTCACCAGGGCCTGATGAAATGCACCTAGAATACTCAGGGAGCTGACAGAGGAGGTATCTGAGCCTCTAGCTATCATCTTTGGAAAATCATGGGAGACAGGGGAGATTCCAGAAGACTGGAAAAGGGCAAATCTAGTGCCCATCTATAAAAAGGGAAATAAGAGCAACCCAGGAAAGTACAGACCAGCCAGTTTAACTTCTGTGCCAGGGAAGATAATGGAGCAAGTAATTAAGGCAATCATCTGCAAATATCTGGAAGATAATAAGGTGACAGGGAACAGCCAGCATGGCTTTGTAAAGGACAGATCACTCTGACCAATCGGATAGCTTTCTTTGATAGCGTAACGAGCCTTGTGGATAAGGGGAAAGCGGTGGATGGGGTATACCTAGGCTTTAGAAAGGCGTTTGATCTGGGGTACGTCTAGACTACATGCTCTGGCGCCAGAGGCATGGAGATTAGGCTACCAGACATAGGAAAATGAAGCAGCGATTTAAATAATCGCTGCTTCATATAAATTTACATGGCTGCCGCGCTGAGCCGACACACAGCTGATCAGCTGTGTGTTGGCTCAGCGCGGCAGTCATGTAAATTTAAATGAAGCGGCGATTATTTAAATCGCTGCTTCATTTTCCTATGCCTGGTAGCCTAATCTCCATGCCTCTGGCGACAGAGCATGTAGTCTAGACGTACCCTCAGTCTAGCATGGCCCATATCAATAAACCAGGGAAATACAATGTAGATGGGGCTATTACAAGGTGGGTGCATAACTGGCTGGAGAGCCTGTGACGTAGTGGGGGTACCTGGCTGGTTTCTATGCTGCTGGCTCCGGGGTAACCCCCACTGGCTGCCGTGGGTACCACGACCCAGCAAAACAGGATGAGTCACTATGG